TGCATAGGTAATCATCTTCTTTGGCCTGTCCAATGCATAGGTAATCGTCTTCTTTGGCCCATTTCTCCTTGGGACTCCTTAAATTCCTGTTACTGAGCCTCGATCTTCACTGAGTCATCAATTGTTTAATTGTTCAATTATCAATAAGCTGAAGTCTGTGGAAGGCCATAATGGCCCTGCTTTAAGTGGTTCGCTGCTCCCGCAGCTCACCACGCTGTCTCTGCCTCCGCCACCATCTTGGTCTCAGTATGGTACAAATTTTAAGAATATAAAACAACATCTACTGTTAGTAGAGATTAGACTTGGTGGAAGTGGGTTATTAACTTAAATCTTGCAGGAGAATAAGGTTTAAATGAGAAAAAATAGGGACAAATTCCCGAATTTAAAAGAAATTAAAGCATAGGAACAGACTATATTTTTAAACAATAAATAAATGCAACATAGAGTATCTAGAATGTAAAATATAATAATAATAATAATAAATAATAATAAAAGTGATCCCGGGAAACAAACACAAAAGACCAAGAAAAGTACATAAATGATGTTGAAATATTTAGTCCCAAGTTGAGTATTGAAAATAGACTGTAAATTTTATTTCTATTTCTGTTGTCTGTTGTTATGTGCCATCTAGTCACTTGTGGCTCATAGTAGCGACCCTGTGTAAAACAGCTCTGAATCCTGCTCTATTCCGTCCCAACCTTATTGTATCTGACACACCTCTCCCTATAACCCCAGTCACAGAATCAGTCCAACTCATCAAGGGTATTCCTCTCATGCTCTGTCCCTCTTCCCTCCCAAACATGTCCCTCTCTAAGGACTGGTCTTTCCTTGTAACATGACCGAAGTATGTCAGACAGACCTTCAGAATCCTAGCCTCCAAGGAGCAGCCTGGTCTCACCTTCTTTAGGACGAACCTGTTTATTCTCCTGGCAATCCAGCACCACAGCTCAGAGGTTCAATACTCTTCTCCAGCAGCACAGTTCAAAGGCATCAGTTCTCCTTCTGTCATCCCTAGTCATTGTCCAGCTTTCTGATGCATAGCAAGTAATTGTGAAGACTGTGGCTTGGATCAGGCGAACTTTAGTCTGAGGTCATCGTTCTTCAGTACTCTGGAGAGGTCCCTGAACATAGGTCATTTACCCCCTTTTCTCTGGTATGGAAGACTATTACTGTAGTCCTGTTTGTAGTAATGCTGTGGTGACCAGATTGATGAATTGCAATACGAGTGCTTAAATTACTTAGACTATTTTTACTGAATGGAGCAGAACAGAGCAAGTCAGACTGCTGAGATAGCAAGCTTCCTAGAACTTCATATCTATAGTTGGCATTGTGAATACCTAGAGGGAGAATGACTTTTTAGTGCCAATGATTCTTTTCCTTCTTTGCAAAATTAGTTCAGATCTCACAGTCAAACTCAAATAATTGGGCTTTGTAGTTTACCTTCCTGAGGTAATATTTCTGTAATATGACCTTTTAGTTTTTGTCATTTGGAGGCCATCTGAAATGAAAGACCAATTTAGAATTGATCTAAAGGCGATATATAGTCTCCCTGAAATATATACCCCAACCTGGATCAATTAAAGATCCATATCTGGTCTCTTAGGACTTTCTTAATTCATGTGAGCCAACTTTGATGATGACACTGTCAGAGAATGTGAACTATAATGGTCAAACTGGTCTCTAATATGATCTGCTGTAGATAACCACTTCTAACTAAGGCAAACTTAAGAACTCTGTGTGTGTGTAAGTGTGTTTGTGAGAATGATAACATTGAAGATGAAAAAAGAATCATTCGATAAAATACCACAACTGTTGTTAGTGATTCTTTGCCGAATAGACCTTGATTACTATAGTCTGCATTTCTGCCTTTCCTGGTCACATGCCTGTAGTGGGTTGTAATCAGTGTGCTATTGCCAATTATAGGCTCATTTGAAAATAATAGTTCTTTAAACTTTATTATGTACTACTAGATTTGATTGAAATCAGTATCTTTGAAAGTTATTATGTAAAGGAAAAGCAGAATTGAATGGTTGGGTTGATAGAAATACTTTCTTTGGTTGAATTGAAGCTAAAACCAGCCCTGTGTTTAAGGTGGAATTATTTTCACCTCATCCTGTTATTCCCTGGTGAATTTTAAAATGACATGGTTGAGGTCATGCTGTTGTTGCTAGGTGTCTGTCAACAAGTCTTCATTTGTATATAAAAAAGAATGGTTTTATCTAGGATTAGGCAATTACTTCTATAGTTAAAAATTTTTTTTTTTGCTGGAACTGTTTTTTTATAATAAAAAATGCTAACTTTAAAAGAGTACTTTTTTGTGTTTTTATAGTCGACCATATACGAATAAGGTCATCACTTTATGGTACCGTCCACCTGAACTGCTACTGGGAGAAGAACGCTATACACCAGCTATTGATGTATGGAGTTGTGGGTAAGAAAGTCTTATATAAGTTGCCTTATTTCACTTGAAACCTTTTGTAGTAAAATAAACTCAGCTCCTTTATTAATGATGGGCATTTTTTATATTAGGTGCATTCTTGGCGAACTTTTCACTAAAAAACCTATATTTCAAGCAAATCAAGAACTTGCACAACTAGAATTAATAAGGTAAGCTCTCATTTTTAACATTTGGGAAAGAAGTAAGTCATACTCCACAGGAAATTTTAAATCTATGAAGCACATCTTTTCAAGAGAAAAAGAGTTTGGTTCTCTAGAATGTTATGAGGTGGAGAAACTAGGATGCCATCACTTCTATACTTGTTGCAATAAAATTAATTATCTTACTCTCTAGATCTCCCCCCCCCCCTTCTTCTGGATTGAATCAAAATCCACAAGATAAGATGGGAGAAGGAAGCATAAATATAAGGGAAGACAGAATGAATGGTACATCATTATTAATTAAACAACTACATACATATGTTTATATATGTGAATATATAAAATGTGTCTATATACTAACCCTCAAAGATCTTTATGATTTGGAGCCTGCCTAAGACCTAGTTCATAAGAAGTTGTCCATACGGATCACGCCTCTTTCTTTCACTCTCACATTTGCTGCTGCTGCTTTTGTTTTGTGCCATTGATTTGCTTGCGACTCATAGTGACCCTGCGTACAACAACCCTAAACTCTGCTCTGTCCTGGGCCAGTCCCACTATCTCTGACATTCCCATCCTGATTATCCCAGTCACTGAATCAATCCACCTCATAGAGGGCCTTCCCCTCTTGCGCCATCCCTCCACCCTACCAAGCATGATGTCTCTCTCTCCAAGGACTGGTCCCTCCTTACAACATGTCCCATATATGTTAGAGCCTCAGAATCCTTACCTCGAGGGAGCCGCCCAGTTTAATCCCTTCCAGGATGAATCTTTTTGTTTTCCTAAAAGTCCATGTTACCCTCAATACTCTTCTCCAGCATCACAGCTCAAAGGCATCCACAGCTCAAAGGCATCAGTTCTCCTTCTATCCTCCTTAGTCACTGTCCAACTCTCTGATGCATAACAAGTGATTGTGAAGACCATGGCCTGTATCAGACATACCTTGGTCTCCAGAGAGACACCATTGCTCTTCAGTACTTTGGAGAGGTCCCTAATAGCAGACTTTCCCATGGCAATGCACCTTTTAATTTCCTGGCTGCTGGTGCCAAGACTGTTGACTGTGGAGCCAAGCAAACTAAAGCTATGTACAATCTCAGTCTCTTCACCATCCATCCTGATGCTGCCAATTGGTCCAGTGGTGAGAATCTTTGTCTTCTTGACATACCCCAATCCATATTGGAGACTGCAGTCCTTGACCCTCTGCAGCAAGCGCTTCAGATCCTCCTCAGTTTCAGCAGGCAGGCAGGGTTGTATCATCTGCATATCGGAGATTGTTGATAGATCTTCCACCAGTCTTGACCCCACATTTCTACGAATAGAGCCGAGCCTCCTGGATAATCTGTTCTGCATACAGGTTGAAAAGGTATGGAGACAGGACACATCCCTGGGTACGCCCTTCCCAGTTTTGAACCATGCAGTGATTCCTTGCCCAGAAAACTCTTACATTTACTATCTGTTTTTGAATTGTGTCCTCCACAAAGTTTTTAATGAAAGTATATATAATAGTTCCCCAGGGTCTGATAAAATATATATAGTTGTAAAGCATGAAAGGTGGAATATACTCGCATCACAGACCTGATCTAATTAAGAGATGATTCCCTGGGATATTGGCATGTGACACTCTTTATTTTACCAGAGGTAAAAAAGGAGGAAAGTGAGCCGGATGAGGCAGTGGTGGTGGTGGGGAAGACACCTCATTAAAAGGAAAAATATTACCAGTAGTGGAATTTGTACTCATTTGCCTACACTAGGAAGCTCCTTGACACTGGGGGATGGCCCTGATAAAAGGAGATCTCCATTGAGTGCCATGCCTGCAGATGCTGAAAGAAGGAAGGACTTTTCCTCTCTAGAGAGGAATGGTTTTCCCTTAGAGCTGACACCCTGATTTGAGCCTCCTAAATAATAAGGAAATACATTTCTGTTTTTTTGAAGCCATCTACTTGTGTTGTCTATATTATGGCTGCACTAGATAACTAAGACAACATAGGCTAGGGAACTTGTTAATATGAGGTACAGATTCACAGAATTATACTTTCCTACTGGAAGAAAATGAACATAAAACAATAAATAATAACTAGAGAACAATCTCAGTTTCATGTTTTAAATTGAAGAGTATTCAGTGACAGACAATTTTAATTGAACTTCAAGATCCTGAGACTGCACCCATGAGTTTTTTTGGGGGGGAGACCATTAGAGTTCGCTAGATAACAAGGGGAGCAAAAACAATCAAACTAAGCACCCTTAATACGTTGCTGCATACTTTTTAAATTGACAACCGTGCTTAGAAACACATTTGCCGTCATTTGTGGCAACGTGTTAATACTGGTCCTTTTTGATGATTGGAGAACTGTGGGTAATGATGAGAATGGTGGTTTGGAGTCCACTTTTTTTTTACTGGATTATCTGGCTTAGTTCAGAAATGTGCACGCCAGAAATAGTCATTTCATTACAGAGCCGGTTATTTCACTGATTAGGAGATTGGAGTTCCCAGTGTCAATGCTTAGGAGGAGGAGAAGTTCACAAGCAGACAAACTTTTAGGAAACCTATTTTATCATTTAAAAATGTGTGACAGAGAAGGGAGCTCTGGTGGCCTAGTACACAGTAAGTTGTGACGTTAACCCAAAGATCTTGCTTCGTGTGGTTTGAAAAGAACAGTGGCTTCTTAGAGAAAAATGGATAATCTCTCATGCAATTTACAACCTCAGAAAACCCAACTGGTGGGTAGTTATGAATCAGCATCAAGTCAATAACGATGTTATAATTTTTTTTCCTTTTTTAAAAAATTCATTTTAATGAACATTTACAGAGATTTTGGATTTCCAGTCATTCATTGTCACATTTTTCTCCCTGCCCACCCCTCCCCCCCAGTTCGCTCTTCTCTTTGAGGAGTAAAAGGAAAATTCCTTTATTGGTATACAATCCCCCAATTCCCCTCCAACCCCACCCTCTACCTCCCCCTCCCGAGTACACTCCACTATGCAACCTTCATTCTGGACTCGTGTTATAACCATCATACCCAATCATATATCACTTTTAACCTGTTCTCTCCCTCATCTGTTTCAATGCAGTATACATACTTTATCTAGCTTTTTGAATTGAAAAATACAGAAAACTTAAGAGATATCTTGAAACAATGCAAATTGGTTGGACATTCTCTAAAGTAGAATAAAACTAAATTAATATATAAATATTAACAAAATTTCAAATATCTCAAAAGTAATTATGAGACCACTGATTGAGCAAACTCGGTCCTAAGACACATTGGAAAATTCTTATAGGGGAAATAATATTGTCTTAGGCTGGGTTATCTAGGAAAACAAAAAATCATTGAATCGTGTGTGTTGTCATTATTGTTAGGAAGCTTTGAGTCAACTATAACCCTTAGCTTCCCTTTTGAACAAGAGATCAAAACTTTGCCCTTTCTTATCTCTTCTCATGATTTCCCACATGTTCAAGCCCGTTGTTGGAGTCTGTGTCAGTTCTTCTTCCTTAAAAATGCCCCTGTCTTTTGCAGCACTCTACCTTTCCTAGCATGGGGTTTTTTTTTAAGGTGTGGCCCTGCCTGACAACATGCCCAAAGTATGTGAATTGAAATTGCACTGTTACTGTGTCTTAGTGAGGATTAGCCTGGTGCACTTTGTCCAATAAAGATTTATTTGTTCTTTTGGCAGTTCATGGGATTTTCAGTACTCTTTGCCAGAACCTCACTTCAAATCATTGATTCTTCTTCCATCTTCTTTAGTCATTTTCTTCATTGTTCCTTAGTTATTCGTCTGCAGTCTTCCTTAGTCATTGTCCGATTTTCAGTTGCACTTGAATTTTCAGTTACATATGAAGCACTTTAAAATCCTGTGGCTTGAGTCTTGAGTCAAGCACACCTTAGTCTTTCAACTGGCATTATTGCTCTGTAGCACTTTGGAAATGTCCTTGATAGCACATTTTCCCAGTGAAGCATATCTTCTGATTTTTTTGACTGCTGCTACCATAAGTAAGACTCATCAACAACCTATGTTATACAAATGACACAACCTTGCTTGCCGAAACTGAAGCAGACCTGAAGTGCTTGCTGTAGAAGGTCAAGGATGATAGTCTTCAATATGGATTGAAGCTCAACATCAAGAAGACACATTTCTCACCAATTGTCAGCACCATGATGGATGGGACAAAGTTGAGATTGTTAACAGTTATAGCTTGCTTTGCTCCACAGTCAACACTTGTGGCACCAGCAGTCTGGAATTCAAGACAAATTGCACTAGGAAAATCTGATACCAGGGACCTCTTCGGAGTACTAAAAAAGCAACATTGTCAGTCTAGAGACCAATGTGTGCCTGATCTAGGCCATGATCCTTGTTATTACTTGCTATGCATTAGAGAGCTTGACAATGACTAAAGATGACAAAAGAAGAATCAATGCCTTTGAGTTGTGGTGCTGGAGAAGAAAGAGTCTTGAACATACTGTGAACCATAGAAAACAAATAGATGTGTCTTGGGGAAGATGAAAACAAGTTTCTCCTTCGAGGCTAGGATTTTGAAGCTTCTTTGGCATACTTTAGCATGTGGCCAGGATAGACCAGTCCTTGGAGAAGGACATCATGCTCAGAAGGGTGGAGTGACAGTGTAGGAGAGAACCTGGATGAAATGGATTGATACAGTAGCTGGGACAATGGGAATAGGTGTGTCGGAATCTGTTGAGACTGGCTCAGGACGGGGCAGGCTTCAGAGCTGCTGTACATAGGGTTGCTATGGGTCACGTAACAACAACCACCACCATAAGTTTGGTTGGGTTTTTTTTTAAATTTATTATTAATTTTAATGAAAATTTACAGAGACTTTGGATTTCCATTCATTCATTGTTGCACTTTTCTCCCTGCTACCCTTCCCCCCTCCCACCTCCACAGTATATTCTTCTATTTGAAAAGTAAAAGGAAAATTCTTGCATTGTTTTACAGTTCCTCCCCCCAGGTCCACTCCACTATGCAGCCTTCGTTCTGGACTCCTGTCATGACAATAA